TGCGAACGCGCACTCAACACCCGCTGGACTCACATTGTCGTCAGCGTCGACCATCGTGGGAGCCTCAGAGTGGACGTCGTCAACAGGTTGCCCGTCAAGTCTCTATTTGTAAACGGAGAGATAATCCGCCGAGGTAATCGTTGCGAACAAAAGCAAGCCGACTTCCAAGCCACGCGAATCAGCATCGATTCCACCGGTGCGTGGAATTCGCCTGCACCTCGATGGAAACGATACGACACAGACGGCTGGAATTCCCGGCGCGATTTCGTCTAATCGCCGCTCGGACTTTATACATTAGTCGCTGTCCTCCATACGAAGGTTATCGCGATTAACTTGCTGCGCGCACCGAGGAAGTAATTTGCAAGCGAATCTATATTTTCATAACGAATCTCCTGGCTGGCCCGATGCGCTGATTACACCAAATAGTACCGCACGCGCGCTTATCACGCGCACATTAGATTACTCGGAGACTAATGGCCGAGTGCGATTCTCGCGAGTTACGAGGCTGAACATAGTGAAAAATGCGGACGGTAATATTTGCAAATGAAGCGGCTCAATAAATGGAGCAGAATATAAGCTCTCCGGTGATAACGTCATATAACTCCGACGTCAAACGGGAAAGCCGCGCGTAACGCCCTCGTCTACGAGCTAACGTTACATAGACGGTTGGATTAAAGAAAAAAAAGAGAAAGGAAAAAGCAGACGCCGATAAAAATAACAAGCATTCAGTTCGTGAGGAATTTAACAGATCGAGATCGGCCGTTACGTTTGAAATAATTTTAGATAGACTCTTGTATCGCACGACGATTTACATGTTCGATAAGTCGGTGCTATTCTCCAGGTCGGAAAAATCCGCTTCCGCAATCTTGTTTTGCTCCAGTTTCAGAGTCTGCAGCTCGGTTAGCCCCTTCAGATGCCCAGGCTGTATCTCTCTGATCTTATTTTTACCGAGATCTCTGTGCACATAAACGAACGGTTTCGGCTCAGTTGCGTCTTCAGTATCTTCAGAGGAATTATAAATTGTTAAGATACAGGGCTGGGAAGTAACTCGTTATACCTGTGACAAAGTTACAGTTACAGTTATTTTTTTGCGGTAACTATAACTCAACTTCGTAGCATTTTCTTCCATCTATAACTGTAACTTGACTTAGCTACATTGATAACTAGTAACTAATTTAATAGTTACTTTATATATTTCAAACTTAAGTTTCTGGTCAGCACGATAACACGATAATGCTTCATGTCCAATAAGCATACAGTTACTCTGGCTGCATTTGGAAAATGCGCTATTGCGTCATCTATCTTTGTCGCTCATTAAATGTAAAACAAGGATAAAATGATGGAATACCGCTGATAGTCTCCTCTCCGAATGCAACTTGTATTTCTTTCAAAAAAATTGCACGCTTATTGGACATTTTCGTCGCGCGTCGCCAGTCTATATTCGTTAACATAACCTGCGTTCAGCGTGAAGTCCGTTGCGTGGTTTCAGTTATATAAAAAATTCAAGCAATGGATAAAATATCTCAATCTTCGGGGAAGGATTGTAAAATGCATAGTCAGCATATGCAGAAATATTCGAGTTACAGCAAAAATTTGGAAACGAGAACAACTGGGCATTTTTCTGCAAAATTTGCGCTGGCACAAAATTGCATTCATGCAAGTAGGACTTTAACTGCAAATTTAAGAAAACATATGTAAGTGTAAGTCTTTATTTATAAAATATCAATATATTTTTTAATGGAAAAATCTAATTTTTGATATTAAGATTACTTTTAGTATTTTTAGTATTTATTATCCTCATCAAATTCTTTCACTTTCTTACAATTGTTATTAATAGTCTAAAAGAATAAATATGAATTGTTTAAATTAATGAATCTAATTTGTAAAAATTGTATACAATATGAGGAATATATAATAATCAATAAACAACTTTTATATAAAATTGAAGGAATTTTTACAATTACGAAATTTAAAATAACGGCACAATTATTGTAATAAAAGTAATTGAAAAGTAACGACTTGTTACTTTCTAAATAACTATAACTGTAACATTATTGTTATTTTTCAGAGCCAGTAACTTGTAACTAGTTACTTTTTCAGTGAAAAAAACTATAACTGTAACTAAATACTTTTACAAAGTAACTTTCCTAGCCCTGTTAAAATATAAAGTATATATAGGGTGTCTGAGGTGGAAAAGTAGTGGAAAAACGCTCGCATGCAGATCGGATGAAAATGAACATACAAAAAGCCTCTGCCGTTTCACTACGGAGAATTTAAATATTCCGAGAAACATTCACTTATTGGTGATTTTATTCCAATATTTTTACACGCCGAAATTAATTTATATGAAAAAGGTTATATAATCCCATAAAAAAAAAAATAAAATTAAAGGAAACTTTCGAAAACGGCCGAGGCTCACAATTGTCTGTTGGCAATATTGAATAATAATTGATGATTCTATCGCATCGCGCGCGTCGATTGACCAATTACTACAATTTACGTAATTTCTCGTCTCCTGCGACTCTTGATTAATGACGTCGAAAGCGAGAGAGCACACGTTGAAATGAAAGGATATATTCATAAAACGACGCTCGTAATTGATCGAGTAGATTTGTCAAACAGTTCCTCTTGCCCTGATAATCAATCAATTACTGTAAAATTAACGTGACGTATGTATATGTAATCTTTTTAACGTAACTTTTTTGCAATCATTTATCGATTACTAGAGATATTAAGGAAAATGTTCCGACCATTTTCCAGATATGCTCGATTGCAAGCGTCATTTGGTGGGTACATCTATTTATTTCGAAGTACTTTGTAAAAATTTTTACAGTGTACTTCTCTTCTTGCTTTTGACGTTATAATTTAAGATAGCTGTGACGAGAATTATACCTCGACATTTTACGTAGTATTTTGCAAAATGACAAGGATAATGGTAGGATTTGAATTTAACGAGTTCTACCTGTACACGAGCGGTGTCAGACACTCAAAATTCAGACACCCTGTAGATTACGCAGGTACTCACAATCGAATCAATCGACTTTGTCGAAGGAACATCCCCACTTCCAATTCGGTTACACTGTTTGCATGAAGATTCCTGAAGTTACAGAAAATTCCAACGCTTTGTACAACGTTTGCAAATTATTTTTCTTTCGCCACATAGAAGGGGCGCACATTACAATGCAACTTACAATGAACGTATATTCGGGTATCTCGATAACGCATCACAGGGCAAACGCGTGAGCGAACTATTGCGCATGTGTCTGTAAAAGTCTCACGTTAATATTATACTGACGACATGATAAATGAGTCAGCAGAGCTGCTTCGCGAGGAATCGCTCCGCATATAACGTAACGTTGTTGCAAAAGTACAATCTGTGCGAAACGTACAGCATTACGATACTCGTCGACAAGTCCTGCGGCACGTTAGTGCGTTTCTCGCAAAATATATTGCACCTGAAGTTAATGCACCCGTCGGATCCGTTAAACGTGCCTGCAAAGAGAAACAAATGAAATATTTTTTATATTTATATTTATTTATATTTTTTATATTTATATTCATATTTACTTTTTTTTATATTTATATGTTTGATAATATTACTGCAGTTTCCAGGGTCCTCCCAGTCCTTGATTTTTATGGAGAAATTCCACATACCGTGCATGTCAACTGCGTGCAAGTAAAGTTACCGATTAGAGAAGGAAGTGAAATTATTTATTGGAAACCTGCAGATGTCTAAATGTTTCTTTTTCTTTCATATTTAATGAACCGCGACTAAAAATGCACGTTACCGCTGGTTGCCAAAATAATGCATATCTCAAAGTGAAAAAAATCGGTGAGGTATACCCTTTTCTATGTATTTACCATTTCTCGCAATAACGAGTCTCTATTTCAGTCTCTGTGTGAGTATAAAACTAAAAATTATATACAAAATACTTATAATTTAGTCAAAGACCAATAAATACCGAAGAGACAGAACCAAGGTGGACACTTGAGAAAACTCGCGGAAGAAATAAGCAATTATCGCAAGGGTCGGCTGAAAACGGGATCAAGATGAGTTGTACTTTGTGTACCAGCGTACGCCCACGGGAACACAGTTAATCCGGCGAATTCCGACTACGTAATGAATCAAATCCCAAGATAGTCGCGCGCCCGTGGCGTCGCGGAGTTGAAGCACACGTGCGCGCCCCGGCGCGCCTGTGTTAATCGAAATCTCTCCGGAGCGGCGAGAATCAAATCAACGACAAGGACACCTGAATTGCAGATACCTTCGCCGATGTAGTACATGAGTCCAGAGTACAGCAGGCAGAGCGTTACAACGAGTAAAGCCGACGATGCAAACGTATCTGTACCTCATGATGTCCCCTTGCTTATAATCGCTGCAAACTCGATCGTCCAAAGTCTTCAAGTTCGAATCGACGTGCCTCGTCCAGGAGGCGAGATGTGCAGCGTGCTAGCGCTCCGCGCGTTAACTGTGTGTGACACCCCAGCTGGATTTATCCGCCCGGTGGAAAGCTCCCTAAGGCGCGCGCGCGCGCGCGTGTCCCGTCGGATCTCTCTCTCTCTCTCTCGGCCAGCGATGCGTGCGAATAAAATTCATCGCGTGTGCCTTGCGAGTTTCTTATCACGGGAGCAAGATTTTCGCAGCGCTCGGACGCGACCGAGCGCACCTCGCAAGGCACTTCGGCCATTTTCCAGGTAATAAAGCAGCGAGAGAAAAATCGCACGAGATGCCGAAAGCATCTCGTGCGATGCAGGCGGAATCTGGAGATAGGCACCGCACTAACGTTCTCCCGTCAGCGCCCGTGCGCGGTGGTGCGCGGTGCGCGGGAGGAGGGAGAGATTTTGACCCCGGGAGGTCAAAGGGCACGTCGTGCCTCGCCTGAGATACGACATAATGCGGCTCATGAGACATGCAGATTTATCTGCACCTTTCGAGATTACTCACGCGGCCGAGTCGCGTGAGCGACTCGCACCGCTGGCGAAATTTCACACGATGTCTCTCCCGTCCCGACGCGCTCTCGCACTTCGCCGCCATCGGGAACGTGTGATTACGCATCAATAAAACAAGCGATATCGATTTCGGGGGGATTTCGTTCGCGTCGCGAACGGCGGCGGCGAACTTTTCGCCAAGTTCGGCCACGCTTCGCTATTCCGACCGTACCTCATGGTATGAATTCGGGATTTCGGGCTCTTCATCTCCCGCGCGAGTCTCGCCTGCTCGCGTGTGGGAACGTCTACGTGTGGGACGATAAGAACCGTAATTGAGAACGTGAGAGGCACACACGCAGCCCCGGTCGTCGATCGCGCTACCTTGGCGAAGTCGAGGAGAAGCGCTGGCCGAGCTCGACGAGAACTTGGACGGGAGCTCTCATGCGGCTGCGGCTCGAGACGTTTTACGACGGCCAGGTGCTGTCGTGGAGCAAGCTGCTGCTCTCGATGCTCGGCCTCTGGCCGGAGAGTCGCAACGATCTTCAATTTGCCTTCTTCGCCGTGTACATCATCAACGTCATGGCGTTGTTAGTGGTGGGCCTACTGCAGAATATGCACGACACCGACAGGCTCATGAGGAACGTCACTTTCACCTTCCCGACCTCGCTGATTGTGCTGAAGAATCTCATGTTCCGCTGGAAGATGGGCAAGCTGTCGCCTCTATTGGCAGCTGTAAGGAGCAACGTCAGGGAAGGACTCTATCGGAGCCTCGCTGAGAGCCGCAAAGTGATTTGGTACAACGCCGCGGCGACGCTCTTCACCGTATCGTCCGCTGCCTCCTTGTTCTTCGTGCCCACATTGTTTTACATAATACCGATTCTCAGCTGCGTCCGATCGAGTAAGTCAAGGAGACTGCCGGGTAGGTCGAGTTAAAATTTTCGGGAGTTTCCTCGCGTCTCTCTCTCTCTCTCTCTCTATCTCTCTCTTTCTCTCTCTCTCTTTCTCTTCCCCTTGCGACGTGGACAGCAGAAGTATTGAGTGTGCAAATTAATTTGATGCTTTTTTCCATGAAATTCAAACATTCTTTATAAAAGGTCAAGTATGCAAGTTTAACGCTAGAAATAATTTCCATTATTTTCTATGACTTTACTTCATCTATCTCGGGCAGCTGATGAATACCTTCGCGGAAAGAACTTGGCGGTTTTGATTCAATAAGGTCATCAATGCTTTCTCGGAGCTCGTCAACTGTTTGAAAATTCGTAGCCGCCAGATGATGTTGAAGCGACCGAAATAGAAGGCTAGATCTGGCGAATATGTCGCGTGAGGAAGAATCTCCTAGCCCAATGTATAGACGAGATCCTTCGTCCCTTTTGCGGCATGTAGTCAAGCGTTGTGCTGCAAAATCATTTGCCTAGTTCCGTCGCCAGTATGAAGCTATCTTTTGCTCCAGAGCATCGCTTACACGGACAAGTTGCTGTTGGTAATAGTCTGCATTAATAGTCTGGCCAAAATTCAGCAACTCATAGTAGACCAGATCCTTCACATCCCACCAGATGCACAGCGAAATTTTTCTTGCGGGAATACTTTGGGGTTGATGTCGACGGTTGGCCGGGATCTACCCCGGGATTCTTTGCGTTTAGGGTCGTCATGCAATATCCGTTTTTCATCATCCGTAATGATTTTGTATAAAAAAATTCTTTCTCTGAGTCAGCAAAGACACGGCCGTGTCGAATTTTCGCTGTTTGTTTTCCGGACTGAGGTTATGCGGAATTCATCTACCCTCCTCCTTTTTTCCAAGTTGAATCTTTCCAAGTTGAAGTAGACGATGGGATATGCACTGCTGGGTAATTCCCAATTGTAGTGCAAGCTTCTGTTGAGCTTGAGCGGAGTTTTCATTCAACAACAGTTGCTCGAATTCTTCGTCTTCAAACGTTTTTGGTTAGCCTGAACGCTCTCTCGATCGGAAAAGTCAAAATCTTCATTCCGAAATATCTGATACTAGTTTTTGCACATTTTATACGTCACAGCGTTGTTATCCAGGGTGGAACAAATGATTCCCGTAGCTTCGGCAGCATTTTCTTTCAACTGGCATGCGAAAAGAATGCAACACCTCAAATGCTGCTTTTCGACCGCCATCATGTTCACTGCTGCTGCTGCGAGGTTATGTCGGCAGGGCCGTCAACTATATCACAGTGCTTTTCTTAAAGCTTAAGGTTAGAACTTTCAAGTTACCACATGAGAGAAAATTGAAAAATGAGAGAAAAGAATTTTAATTTGTACCAGAGTTACAAATCGTTAGATGCAAAGGCACCGAATTAATTTGCACACTTAATACTTAGCGAGTGCGATGTCGGTCGCAAACAGTAGCACGAATTCAATCATTATATAGTAAACAATACTGATAAACATTATACATTATAAAAAATATAGGGATATTTAGTAAAATAGGTATTATATGATGTATAAATATTAAGAGTACACAAGAGTTAAGATCAGCATGTTACGTAATTTCAGCCATCGCGCAGTCGTTTCTTCCGTTTAATTCGTCATCTTGCATGATCATGCGAATAACACATCCCGTGCGTATTCGTGCGAATATCTTAATATCCCGCAACGCTAAAGTTCTCCCCAACGGTTTACGAGGCAGCGTTATCCCGCGGATAACGGAGAACGCTATGGATTCTCCTGACAGGTTCCGGCAACTGCACTCTTCCGTACGAGCTGCCCGCTCGCGTAAATCTCCTGTACGAGATATCGGGGATGCGCTCGTACGCGCTATTTTGCGCGATTTTACTGCCGTCCAGCACGTTCCTGACGATCGGCGCGACCGCAGCGGACAGCCTGCTGGTCTCCCTGACGTTTTATCTGTGCGGTCAGCTGTCGATTCTCGGTCATCGTGTGAGAAACACCGAGCCGCGATCGCTCAGGTATCATCGTGAGATGAAGCTTCTCGTGACGCGACACGCCGAGCTCTTGCGGTGAGAGATGTCCACGGAGATGTAATTAAGGACGCTTCCTCCATGCACAGCAAGCAAATCCCAGTTTGTGCAACTGAACCAGGGAGCAGACAATTGGTGACGAGGAATGATGTCTGGCTAAATAAACATTAAAAAGGAAATATTTGAAAAACATCGTATCACATTTCAGGTATCTTTAGACGTCTTTGAAACGTCTTAGAGTGTCGTGCCGCCTGAGAGCGTTCAGAATTGTGTTGAGGCTTCTGAGAAAACGCTCAGAATTTTCTCGTGCCACTTCCAGGGGAAAAGATATTTGTGTGAAAGATTACACGAGGTCGCATATCTGTAAAATGTTCCCAACACCCATAAGCCTGTTCTGAAATCGGTTTCGGAAACTTTGGTTTCAGTCACGAGATTGGTACGCCTTACATTCATTTAAATACATTTCGTAAGTGATCAGCTGATCACGCTTGGACGCCCACACGCCTGTTTTGGTTTACAAACTTGGCTTTAATTACCAATTTTGTAGTATTGAATAGAGAAGTAAATATATTTTTTATTACTTATTATATTGACAATTGATCAGCTCAATTATGTATCTAAGTTAGCTTAAGGCCTGCCAACCTTATATAACCTAAAACTAAAACCAAAGTTGCCGAAACCGATTTCGGAACAGGCCTTACACTTTTCCCTTGAAAGTCAATCAACTGCCGTCAAATGATTGCGATATGAGGTTATATATAGATATATAGAATGATTGCGCATGCAACTATGACTAGGGCTCATATAGCGGTCATTTCCCAGACAGCACACGAATGTCCACTGGACGTCCTGGACGCGTTATATGTTCATTCTTTTTACAAAAGACGTCCATAGGACATACGTTTGTCACAACTTCGGACATAGGACGTCCGATGGACGTACATCGGACGTCCTACAGGTCCGATGTCCAATAAATAAGGACATCCTTGTTACGTCCGTATGTCCAATTTATGTCCACGGACGTAAATCGGACATACGGACATAAATTGGACGTGAAACGTACATCCATTGGATGTCCGGTGCTGTCTGGGTTTGTGGTCGTTGATTGATAGTCGTTGATTGAGTCAGGATCAAGGGAGAAACGTAACGTTTTTTCACAAATGTGAACAATATGAAATATTCTTCCGTAGAGATATTTTTTTCTGGAAATGGCACGCGAGTTTTCAGCGTGTCACTCCTCGCTGACGTTTGACGCCACCACCTATGGTCGCGACCCAGTCAGAACCACAACGTTGATTCGACGTCGATGAGGATTGAATTAACGTTGAACGAATTAACCATTTCATTGAGCATTTCTACATTAAATCAACGTCCAGTCAACGTTATGGTTCTGACTGGAGACGAGCACACTTGGAAGCTTCAAAACTCGGCGGAGACAGCTTGAAAACGATCAATTGGGACATTACCTAGAAGAGAATATTTCCGTCCCCACAATCGAGTTTTCTCCCTGGTCCCTGCTTTTCCCAGGAGGATTCAGTTACACTAACGGGCTAGTTTTTCTCTGCGTGCGCAGGTCGTATAATTAATACCCGCGAACGCGATCGAAGTTTCTGCTTCGAGTGCCGCGAAACAGACGCAAATGAGTCAAAGTGTGATTTCTTGCAGATTGGCGAGCATCCTGGCAGACGCGTTCAGTTCGCTCATGTTCGTGCAAACGGTGGGTCTGATCTTTTCTCTCTGCATCGTGGTGTATCAGCTACTTATGGTGATGTTGTCGACTTGATACGTACCGCTTAGCTCTGACTTGATTCGATCAAGATTAGGCCGCGCGCTTGGGGACAATTTTCCGATCGCACGGACGCGTTTTTCCGTCGTAGATGTAAAGAGCAACGAGGAAAGACGTAGCGTGGGATTTAGTCCGCATCGAGGCTCCTCCTGCTGTTCTCTCGCCGCTCTCGCAGCCATCTTGGATGTCGACGACAGAAGCGAGGAGATTCGTGCTAAAGCGGACTTCCTACGGATTGTAAAATCGAGACAAAATGACACTCGCGACGGATCGAGCGCTTTTCTAAGACGCTGCGCGGAAACTTCTGCTCCGTCGAAGCGATCGACAAGTACGCGAAAAATCCACGCGGCTTCGTCATGGGAAGCAGCGGGTCCGAGAGAAAAGTTACCTACAACGCGCGTGTCAATTTTACGGTGATTTATCGTCAGAGCGAAAAGAAAGCATTTCCGAAGCATTCAGAGGTGCGTTCGATCGATCGCGTGTGTCGTTTTTATCTTGTGTCTTTTTATCTCGATCGCGATCCGTGAGAATTTCCAGCAGTGAGCATTTCCTCGCTTCCAACGTCGTCAATTAGTCGCGGCCCCGCCGCGAGGGAGCAGCAGGAGTCGCGGAGGTTGTCCTAACGTTCGGCGACTTGCGACATTTCAGACGGCCGAGAGCGGCAAAGGATTGAACGAGATGGTTCACTTTATGATTTACTCGGCCGCGGTGATGTTGCTGGCGTTCTGCTATTGTTTCCTCGGAGAGTGCTTGATCGGCGAGGTGAGAGCAGGTTTCTCCGCTTTGTAACGGCCACGTTCAGCGGAGAAAGCTGCTTTGCGACCGTTGTAAAATTCGTGAATCTGATTGGCGCATGCTTTCGGATTCTGCGAAATTTAAGAGTGTAAGTTGTGTGGTTTTTCACGGATAGATGGCTTTACTTGTCATTAAACGCCATCAGGCCTAACGTTTAAAGATTATAGCATTTGGACCATCAGGTTACCATTTATTTCGTTCCTTGCAAAATTCCTTGAAGGGACAAAAATTCGATTCTGATGAGGTTATCAAACAGTACTTGTGTGACCAGTTATTCGCCAATGAGGACCAGAAGCCTCTATGAGAGGCCGGAACTCACGAAGCTACCAAACAGATGGCAAAATGTCGTTGAATTAAACGGACAATATATCACAGAATAAAGTCTTTCCTTTGTATGAAGGAAACATTTATATAGAAAGAAAACGCGACATGACTTTCTTGCCAGCTTGATAGATTCACGAACTTTACAACGGTTGTAAAGCAGCTCTTTCTGCTGAACGCAACCAATTTCTCCATGATGCCCGTCTAACACGAGACGCGTCACACTAACTCCTGATATTTGACTCCAGAGCGTGGCGTTGGATTGGGCGTGTTACTCCACAAACTGGCACGAATTGCCGACCGAGTCCGTGCGTCTTCTAATGATATGCATTGCTCGATCGCGGAAGCCGTTATATTTAACGGCCGGAAAGTTTTATGTCTTTTCCCTGGAAATGTTCGGCGCGGTAAAGTCTCTCGCGGACGATCTCGGCGGAGTGGTCCTGGGGCAGGACAACGACCTGCAAAAATCGACAGAGATACAATGCATCTTTTCTTGCAGATTATGAAGGCCTCCATGGCGTATCTCTCGGTGCTGAAGACCATCGTGTAGTTCGGCTCGCTGAGCTCTGCGATGCTGACGCTTGTCGGCGACACGTGAGAGTCCATGCATGCTTGATTACTTAAGAAACAAATATACAAAGATAATTATTTTCGCACGATATCCTGTAAATATGTCCTCATTCCGCGAGACTTACGCTTGTACGACGTGTGTAAATAGAAAAAGAAAAAAGGCAACAAGAAACGATTCTCCAATTGAGGCGTCCCGACCCAACTTTTCGTATCTTCTTAATCCTCTTAAACGCATCGGAAGAGCAAGTGCGCGCACACTAGGAAAAATGTATTGTTGCGTGAATCAAAATTTTGTTGTAACAACAAAATAATTTGGTTAAAACATGCCCAACAAAACTGTTTAGTTCCTGCAAACAAATATCTTGTTTGATTACAGTTTGTTCGTATAACGTAATAATTTTGTTATAGCAACCAAAAAGCTTTAGCTAAATGAATTTTGCTAAAAATACTATAAATTTTTTCTTAATATATAAAATCTAAATTTTACTGCACAGAAAGGCAAAATAGTATCCATTTTAGTTTATGTAAAATAATACTTCGTTATTATGTAATTTTTATGGACGAAATTACTAAAACGCTTAATTTTTATGTATGAAGCCTAAGAACAGAATCATTTGGTTCTGAGAACAAAGTTTAGTTGAAACAACTATATAAAACAAGATATTTGGTTGCTATTAAAAAATGCTTCAACCAAACAGTTTTGTTAGAGATACTAAATTTTTTTTCCTAATGCAGGATATAACTCGACGCATGGAGACGCGAAATACGTCCGCAAGAGTGATCGATGACGATCGATAAGAACGATTGCAAAATTCCGATTGAAGCGGAAAGTATCAAAGGTCAACTTCTGTCACGATCGATCGCAAACTGCGATATTTGCTCTTCAGAGCGCCGTGTGACGCACAGAGGCACAGATAGGGGAATGAAGAGAGCAACTTGCCGGTCGCGACAGGACGAGGCGAATCGGCGAACGGAGGTCAGTCCTGCGGAAGTCTCGTCTCGTCCTGACGCGACGCGGCGGCGGATCTTGGCTGGAGGAGACGTGGAAAAAGAAAAATTTATTTCTGTTTATTCAGAAAAGATACAGAGAGTGTACATCTGTCGAGGATACATAAATTATACATGTCCTTGCCTTTTGTGCTATTTCCGGTTGCGAGAGTGCGCGCGGCGAATTGGATCGGCGATTGCCGCGCATGCGCGTGCGCGCGCGCGCGACGATCGCCGCACGACTTCCATGTTCGATTCATATCGAGCGCGGCCGACGCTCGCGACGCGTTTTTTGGCGTCGGGAACGTCCAGGGCGCGAAGTCGTATGCGAAATCATCCGGGGAATAATCGCGGATGCCGGCGACGACCGAGGCCGTTTCTCGCGGACGCGTCGCGAAGATCCGCGAGAGCCTCTCTCTCTCTCTCTTTCTCTCTCTCTCTCCCTCTCCCTCTCCCTCTCGCCACGCTTTTTCCGGCTGACCGGAGCGTTTTCTCGCTTGCTCGTCTCTGTCCCGTCGGACTCTCGCTCGCGGATTTCTCGTGACCGGAGAAGAATGTTTCAACGTGACTCGGCGCGCAAGGAAAGACAATCGTCGCGTTTCTTCGCGGAGGATACGAGTCGCGGGCTCCGAAACTGTCGATATGTACGCGCGAACCAAATGAAGATATATTTATGTATAGCGGAAGAGGTCGGGGTGCGCGGAAATCCGTAAGAATCCTCGCGGCGATGTGAGACGCGAGATCCTGAGCGATTTATTCGGACTTCCCTGCCCCTCGCGAGATCAATCTTCGCTCCTCTCTTGGCTTCTCCCTTCATGTATTTCCCATCTCGCGTTTTATTCTCTCTCTCTCTCTCTCTCTCTCCCTCTTTTCTTCGCGCACAACGAAAGATAAGACTGATAAGACGGCATGGCCGTTTTCGCGCGATTTTCTTGCCCTGCAGCTTCGACACTGCGGGAACGATGCCAGCCAATGGTGGTGGTTTTCAGGACGGAAGAGGCTACGCGAAAAGTCGAGAGTGTGCTACAGACATGTCTATGATCTCCCCGAGAGAGGTAGACGAGTCGAACCGGCGACCGGCCTCGAAGTAACGAGAGAGGACGCCGATGAAGTCCCGACGTACAAGGGTAACATTGGCTGCGTTCAGCCGAACAAAGCGATCAGTGAGCGCTTAGTGATTCTCGCACCTGATTGGTAAATACTTCTGGGTCTATGAAGAATCTAAAAGAATGCTCCAATCACAGACAATAATCACTAAGCGCTCACTGATCATTTTGCTCCACTGAACGCGGCCGTTGATGTTCACTACTCGGGCGAACCCTGATCGGGCAAAACCGTTTACTTTCTTTCGTATTCTCTCTTTTTCGTTTCAGCTCGCTCTTATCGAGCACCGAGTTCCCGTTTCGGTTGTATGTGTGCGGCGTGCAACTTCCGAAGCTGGAAATCCAGGATACGCGGGCGACGAGAGCGCTACAATCGACGCAACGCGTTAATCGAGTATAGCTTTGCGATAAACCGAACTAATGAAGAATCGCGACTCCAGATTTTAGAATCCGTGCTCCATGCTGGAAATATAAGGGGCTTCATAAAATGCTGGGCTCATTCAAAGAACGCGATAATATCAATATACACGCACACACACACACACACACACGCGCGCGCTTCATATACTTTCTTCTGCACACACACATACACACACGCGCGACGAAACGTCTAGCGATATTAATGAGTTTAATTTACAAATCTTACGTTTAAGCGATTGTAACTTGCCCCCGTCGCGAGTGACTGACTTCTCCTGCGTATCGATTGTATCGAAAATTTCGTCGGGGATTTATGCGATAAATATCGGCAAATGGCGGGGGAGATCGGGCTGTGCTAATTGCGTGAAAAAATGAAAGAAACGAAATCTCTGCGACAGAATCCGAATGCCATGGCGTTTATTCAAGGCGATCGAGAGCTGATCAAATGCTGATATAAAATGACCCGATGACGATACGACGGGTGACGTAAATACTCGGTATGAATAAACAACGTGCGAGGAAATGTTGACAATTGCTTCGCGGGACAAGTACGCAAATTACGCGTCGTTCACAACAGCGTGGACGTTTCCTCGTCGCATTTTATCTGCGAGGTTCTCGATCAACCCGTTTCGTTCTCTGACTAAAAAATGATGACTCTGCATTTCGGTAAGAAAGAAAAAAAAAAAAAAAAAAAAAGAGAAAAAGAAAATAACGTATTGAACGGTGATTTGTATACGACGGTTTGCTCGGTTCTAAAAACACAAATCACGCGGCTCCGCAGGTTATATTCCTGCTGACCCTGCGATTATACGTAAAGCGTAAATCGATTCGATAAAGTCCTTCGTCCTGGGGACGAGCAACACGGCACGCTCTTTTTATCGTCAAATAGAGAGAGAGTGTATCAGCCGTATCAATTCGAGAAACTTTTGCACTTGTATGCACCGTTTTTGTCCAACAACGACGAGGTTTACGTGGGCGCGGACAAAAACGATCCTTCCGATGAATGCGAGAATTTTGTCGTTTCGGGATCGGACAAAATTTCGTACTTCGCAGAATGAGCGAAGTACGAAATACAAATACGAAGGTGGAGAGAATCGAAAACAGCGCGACGAGAATTTAGAAGAGACTATACGTGAGTAACAAGTGAGTAACAAACTCGGCAACAGTAATTCCCCCAAATTGTGCTCGATGGCAAATAACATTACACTGAATATATTTTCAAAACGTCCGTGAAATATAAGACATACTCATGGAAATTCGTTCTTTGCATTATTTCGTATTGTCGTTTCTCGACTCTTGAACTATTTATGTAACTGCTGCGTAAATGTATCTACGAACTGACGGAATCAGATGGCGCGTCTAATTTTGAGAATATTATTCGGCGAGTATCGTAATGTTGATTAATGTCTCGACAAAAAGACAAATTAACATCTTTTTTTCTCGCACAAAAAGTGCAACTTTGGAAGAAGGTCTTGCGGACGAATAGATTCAAAATTTACGACTGCGTCTCGAGTACAAGTATCGACATATAAAAGTGGTGGAGACTGCAATACGTAATTTTATTTTATATATATTATGTCTCTTGCACATAACGAAATAATTATTATATTCGCACAAATAGATCTCGAATCTCATCCGGCGAATCGAGTCTCAATTTTTTACTGCTGATCGAAACTACGAAAAATATAGAAGTATAATCTCTTCTCCCTTCTTCCTTTCGAGTGTAGAATCTACTTGGGACACTTGCCGAAATAAATTTACGGATATTCTGCGATTCCGTTAATTTCCAATAATTCGGTCTCGCGGATAATGATCGAGAAACACGGCCGTGTCTCTTGTCGCTGGCGTCGCGTTACGTCGATATTGATGCTTGTTAGAAACAAGAATGAATCATCGATAGATCGCAGGCGCGTCCTTGCTGCTGTATGTTTAGTCGTGAGCGAGACGGTTCGAAGATTTTTCTTTACGCAATTCGGCGACAGCCAGCGGCTGTCCAACGACGGGGCTGAACATTTTGGAAATTTTCTGGAAACAAATTTTTCGCGTCGGAGCCGCGTTTCCAGGTGCATCCAGGAAGAAATGTCCAAAACCGTTCAAGCCGCTTCGCTCCCGAGTAGTATACATACATTTTAATCTTTGATTAGAGCGTGAAATTATCGCGAATCCGCGGGAAAATGACGGAAGGGGGGCAGCATCGATGCTGTTTCGAAGTACACAGAGGAAAGCATGCAACTCCTGCGCGGTACTCCTGCTCGGGAGGACGCTGTTAGCGCTATTTAGCGCTACAGGCTTGTTCGCGCAGCGCTAACAAACGCTATATCATAGCTTCACCGATGATAGCGTGTGTGTACGTCACACGCTTCCGAAGTAGCGTTAGCGTTTACAAGCTTCTTCGCGAACGCCCAAAGTATACTGCTGCGCTGTAAACTGCGCGTGATCGTCAAATGATGCCGGTGAATCGTATTTATTATTTTATTGTCATTTATGCACCTAATGGGAGGACAACCGAGTCGAGATAAATCTCCGAGATGTTAAAACTAGAGAAGTGTTTGAACGACGCGGGAACGACGCTGTAACACGCTAGCGCCGTTTGCGGAACTCGCCATTGTTCTATCGCGCTATTATAGCTCCGCGGATCATTAGCGTTCGCGTTGATAGCGCTAACAGTGTCTCCTCCTCAAATGCGTCTCTAGAAGTCTGCATCTCGCACATGCTTATCGACAACCGTCGGCTCGGGTGCAGTCATATCGCGCAACAGCCGCACCGAATCGATCTCGGTAAGGATGCGCAGGATACAGGCGCTGATCAATAAATAAAACGACGACTCGATAAAACGGAGAACATAAAAGAGTGGAAAAGAAGCTGTCGCCTCGGCACACCTACAAATATATATATACATAAGTAACGGAATGGTCTCTCTAATCGTCACTGCACGCAGGCCGGCATGATAGTCTTGACACTCTGCGCGAACGGGTTATTAGGACTTTTTAACCGCACGCAATGTAGACTCGTACTTGCTTACTGATCGTTCCAGGTGACGACTCGGTCAAGGCGATACATTTGTCACAGCGGTGGTCTTACGTTAATTCCTACGAGGAAAGAATTCGTACGATTAAAAAACGCTTAGTAACCTTGTACGTTGAAGAGTGTTGAGGCCTATCGCGCCGGTTTGTGTACACGAAATCACAGCACTTACAAAGCCGTTGTGACGCCACGAAATCACAACGCTGTTCAGCCGAATGTCGGGAAACGGTGCGCCGCATAGAAATCTCTCGACGATTAATTCGACAAAAACTAAAAAAACGACGACCTCGAAGTGACTCGTTACTTTGCAAGTGCCTGATTTTTACATACATTGCAGTGTTTCCGCAAGTTTTGCTTGTAACAGTTGTAAGAGTGAACATCAAATACCTTGCAGTTTTACGATAATGGACATGTCTTTAACACGCGAGTCGAGACGGTAATGCTCAAGAAAGATAATCGAAGTCGGGACTAAGGATCAGAGCCGTAGTAGGTCGGGAGAGCGAAAGCTTGAGATTGACACACCTGAAAAAGAACTCACCGTTCCGGTGACAGGTGGTTTCAGTCGTCCAAATTGTTCTAGTTCGTTAAAGCTATAACTTTGTCTCCGAGCGAGAAACTAAAAGGCGACTCCGTACGAAACTGTTTCACGCAACATAATCACGCAACAGGATAGTCAATGGCCAATTAGAGGTGTTTCATTTGGACCGAAACCGCGCGTTCAGCGTACGCGAAACACTCTCGGATTTATGCCAGTGTCGGTGACTCTTGATTGTTGCAGCAACGCAGTTACATTACGGTTTTGCACCTAATCTTTACAAATAATATCAACATTAAGTATCGCGTAAATGATAGTTTATACTTGGTACAAACAGCGGCGCGTGTTGAGGCGCCCACGATATAGTACTGCTTGCAAGTCCCGAAACGAGACACGGATCACGTGTGTGTGACTAATACGAGTAATAAAGTATACGAGCTACTTAGAACTAAACGATACACACTCTCGAACCATATTTCGCTGCGTGCATTACGGAAATGCACTTTATATAAGAATATATATTTTTGCTCATTTCTTTTGTCTTCTTCTTTTTCTTTTTTTTGCAACACGCGGAAACGGGGCCGCGCGAACGCGAGCGCGTGAGTTTCCATGCGCGTAATTTTCGACCAAACTATTCTTGCTCGTCATGTGTAAGATATGTAAAATTATGTTACATCAGAAGTATCATCATGTCTCTCTCTCTCTCTCTCTCTCTCTCTCTCTCTCTCTCTCTCTCGTTTTCTTTTTTCTTTCTCTCTCTCTCTCTCTCTCTCCCTCTCTCTCTTTCTTTCTTTTGTTCAAGTAATTATCAATAAAAAAGGCATCGTAAACAACGTATGTACAAAAGGAAATATATAAAAAGTACAGTTGCTAATTTGTTTGTTTTTTCTTTTTTTCCTTTCCTTTTAAGAGGCAATAGACTTAAGATTCCCGGTGGCTGCAATTCCTTCGGTTATGCGGCTCAAGAACTATTTATACAACCCACGATGTGTAATATATAAAAGACATCACAGACACTGGCACAATCGCGTTAACTTGTTCTGTTCGTAATTGTTCCCATTGACTGTCGATGTTCTTACAAATTACTATTACTTATAGCGTGTCCATATGCACTCAATGCACACACACACACGCACGCGCGCGCGCGCAAATATGCACAGTCGTTTTTCTTTTTTTCTTTTCTTTTTTTTTTTCGATTGACTTCATCCGAGTTAACTTCCTCCATTGCGCAACTTTGTTTTTGCTTTTATTAACGAGACGAAGGACTTACAGTGGGCAGTAGATGGTTGCGTGAGAAATGTTTACAGTCTAGATGGTCCAGAGGAGCATCTGTGGATTGGTGTGAGATAGTAATTTTGCAGTGGTCAAGTGCATACGAATCCCTCCTGTGCTACTGTGGACGCACCGGTAGGTCCTTCCTGTTATGTCAGACATTACATTACGTCAGACACAAATGTATGAATTGTACCGTTAAATGTCACAGATAATATCACATGCGGCAGAAAAATGAAAAATTGTTAACGGTTTCGATACAACAGACGTATCGAGCACGCGGGGAAAGCGGATAACTGAGGCCATGACGATTATCACATTTCTTTTATTTCTACTCGTCGTAAATGTAACAAATATATACGGATAAAAGAAGAAAAAAAGAAAGAAACTCAACGACAAATTTGGTCTTTCACGTTTTAGTCAACTGATTGTATATTATAAATATTATTTACAGATGTTATTCATCATATTGTACGTAAAAATGTTCACGAAAGGCACGGTTCTTACATCTTTAGTAGTCGATAGGCTCTGTTTGTACTCGTCCAAGTTGAAGTCAGAATTACTATCTTCTCCGCAAGATTGTACTACTATCGATGAGTTCTCCACCTAAAATCGCATCATCGTACAATTGTTATACCTCACACTCGATTCTCCACATTGTCGAATCGACAGGATAGAGTGTTCTTCTCTTCATGCAGTGCGTTTTATGATGTACACTACCTACTTGCTCTTCCACTTCATTGACTCGCCGTTTCTTCCCACACGCATCAATCCCCTGATCTGAGAGTCGCTTTCTGCCCGTTGTATCGCCTGGATTTCTGGGTGACACGCTACCACTGTTCCCGTTCCCAGCAATGCTGCCGTTTCGATGCACACCGCCGGAAACCTATAAGCATTTCAACACTAACCATCGCATCATGACAATGAGAAAATGGATGCTCTTGAAATACAAGTCTTGTCATTTTGCAGTATCCTATTGTATAATATTAAAAAACAAAAAGATGTGTAAAGTATTCCTGGAATATCTCAACAAAAGATAAAAATGATTACGCAATAGGACCGCAAAATTCACATGTCCAGAGTTGAATAGGCAAAATCAATAAAATTCAAATGTAATATATTGTGTTACCTTTCGCTCTTTTTTCAGCAAACTCGGAGACACATAAGTATGCAAATCCTTCCTTTTTACGTGTTTAGCCTCTATCCACATACCCTCTTTCAGCATATTTATTTGTTCCGCTTGTCTCTCAACTGCAATAAATGCACGTACAGTTGCATTATTATGTACTTGGTGCATTTGTAACGATTATATAACTTGTAGCCAAACTTACTTGTCTCCACGAAGGACTTTATATCATATGTGAGGTCGATATTGAGATTCTCGCTTTTAGCGAATAGCAGACCAATGAACCACATAGAACAATGCTTGTCCGGTTCTGGGTCCAATGGTGGAAATGCTTCAGGATTAACATGCGCCAAGTTAATATGAGGATTCCTTTCCAACGTACCTGTTATAGAGTTATAATTTCATCATTTTAGTATTGACAGACACTATTGGTATATCATTAATATTTGACCACTAGAGTAATATACACCAGAGTAATATAAGAGAGATGAATGTATACATATTTACGACGTTATCATCACAAAATTAAGAGTGAGATTCTAGAAGAAAGACTAGTCTCTAGTTAATCGTAACTGTTCTTTATTAACTTTATTAACTGAAAAGATTACCACACACACATAATTTATTTCAAATCTTGTATTCTTTGTAGTTGTTAGTAAATACGACGCTTCTACATCTTTGTTTCCATCTATACTGACTATAGCGGGATAAGTGCAGATAATGGTAGAGCGAGATAATACCGAAAAAACAATACAGAAAATAATATCGAGAAAATAGTATGGAATACCTTTGTGTACCAATAAATAAAATGTCTTTTGTTGCGAAATGTGTTCGAGTATTTGTTACCTATCAAATGCCGTATTTTCGACTCCACGAGACCACACCATTCCAATTGATCTTCCGCAGTTGAACTTCTAGCTAACAACACAATATAGTGTTTGTATTTGCTAAAGAAGTTTGGCGGTTCAAACAATTTGTCCCAATTCGCCTTGCCCATGATAATCTCCTCGGTTATGGATAATCCGTTCTCAAATGCTTCTTGCATAATGGTTCTGGTTGATACAGATACGTTGAAAGTGGAATTTTGTTGAGGATACGCTGGCGTAATTATAGGCATCAAATGATACCTATCTGATATATTAACCTGAAATATAGATAACAAAGAAGTAGAGATTGATTTTCAAGAGCTTTAAATCAGCACAAGTTTTTAAAGTAAATATTATAGCTGGTTTATAAGTAGCTACAGGAAGTACAAATTTCAAAATCTATGTAAAATATGTTAATATATTATATCTATACATTTTTCATTTGTTAAATATATATATTTGTCAAAGTCGTATAGAACAAATAAAATTCTTACTCTTGGATCCCAAACCGGATAACCTAAATTGACATTGTCGGGTTGTTTTAAAAGTACCGGTTGAGGCCACTTCCACTGAGAGAATACGAGAAAAAATTTTTCTATTAAAGTAGCAGCCACAGCATTGGGATAAAGTTGACATGTTCGAGCGACTAACATCGCCCATGATACACCACCAAGGTAACCTAATACATTGCTATATATGCCATGCCCTAAAAATAAAAAATAGACATAGGCAAAGATGCACGTAGCATAGTAATAGTTGTTGTTAGGAGTTATTATTATATAAACTTACGTTTTGCCCATAATTTTATAGCTCTAAGGGCTAGTCTGAAATTTTCTATATTAGGTACTAAACGCAATATTTCATCCGTTACTCTGCAACCGTTAAGACTCCGTACGCATTTTTGATCAAGATTTTTGAGTAGCATGTCATCCCTGAGATCCTAAACATTTATTAAATACTTATTATTAACACAAGAATTGTAGAATATTACTTTTGTGTACATAAATACACAAAATATATTACTAACCATTGAATCTGGAATTTCTTTAAGAGTTAATTTTGCAAATAGCATATCAATTTCTATACCATCAAAATTCATCTTAATGACTGGTACAAAGGCTTCTTCCACTGCCTGCAATAAATTATCATTAGTATTTGTCATCACGCCAGAATTTTTACATGTATACATGAATGATCTTTTTACATTTTAAATGCACATGCAATAAATAATAATTATTTGTATTACACATTGTTAAATTACATACTCTTAAATCTGTAACTTCTTCTTGCATCTTCAATAATTCGAAAAAGGAATTAAAATAATCTGATCTATAAATGTGACGTGGTACAACACATAGTGCATCAATATCGGCACCCTTGTGATGTACACCTAGCCTATATGAGCCAAATGTGTATATTTTACCACCGACTTGTTCAGCCACATTAGGTGGCATATTTCTAGCTATGCTTGTATCCCTTATCCATTGTTTAACCAATGCATTCAATTTACTATAACAATAAATAAATTTCATCATTACTACAGTAGTCCCCACTGTTGTTTCAATATAAAAAAAAGAAATGCTAATTACAAAGGAGTATACATATTTTTATATACATATTTAGAAGTGATTATTTTGTTCTTTCACCCTGAGATTCTGAAATGTACCTTAAAATCTCCATCCTATGATTCAACTCTTCTTCAGATTCAAAAACATTGTAGGGTTTAAGGGCCTCTTTCAATTCGTTGGTTCTAGCGATATCAAGGGGCTTGGGCTCAGCTACACTGATAGCAGATGTCATGCCCAGAGTACGTAAATTCTTTTCACTTGATGCCGAGTTTGTATTAGAATTGTTACTTTGTGTCGGCCACATCTTAATATCCTCTAATCAAGTATTCGTTTCTAAAGACACACTTCACTGTAAATATCATGAACAATACAATTTCTCACTATAACTTTACGGATGCAGAGTGAAAAGAACAGTAACAAAAGGTATCATGTGTGAAAGCAGATACGTCAAGAATAAAGTAAAAAGAAAAAGAAAAGAAAAAAAGATAAAAAATAAAAAACGTAACTCTAAGGAACAAAAAGATGCAAACTTTCGTTATCAGTAAAGTGCATTCCATCACATGGGCGCACACATATTCAGTTATTGACGACGATTCGATTAAAACAATGGTCGGCGCGTCGATTTTACAACAAAATGGGAGCAACAAAAGAGGGCAATAAAGGGACAGCGATACGTAAATGTCTTACCGCCTGAATGTTTCGTCAAAGATACAGCGACATGATAAAGATACACAGGACGAAGAACTCGATTGTGTTGTCAGGTTATAAAACACGCAGATGCTCACGCTAACCGTGGCATAGCGTGCATTCGTTTGATCGCAGTGCGACTGCCGCGAGACCAATCGCGATCTTAGAACGAATAGCACGTCTTGTGTATCGCACGGCTGCCTAATCGCGTGAGTCTAAACAATTTCTGCAGAAGCGAGGTGAAGAACATCTAGCTGCGGGTGTAGTGTAAGAGGGAGATGCAGTTCTATACGCGCGATCAAGACAAAATACACGCGCGGCACCGTCACGGAACTGCGTAATTCGTCATACGCCACGGAGACACGTGGCTCGTGAATCGTATTCCGATCGCGTTGCACTACATAGATATAGGAGCAAATATTATTACACGAAAAATTATAATCGACACATATACCTGAACACTCCGCGCGACAAACTACCTACAGTATAAACATGGCGTTACCCCTGGTTCGTTTGCTCGAAACAGTCTATGATTACGCGAGACTTGAATAGTCACTAGCAGAAAAGTACCGTTACGTCGTCGGGGTGACATCTGGTGAGCTATTGTGCCACTATTATTTCTGATGCTTTGTTATTATTTCAATTAGAAACACTGAAGCCGGTATTCATAGTCAGGTCTTATATTTAAAACCGTCTTAAGTTTATCTTCAGATACTGTACAAATTACTTCATTGGCTACGGAATATCTGAAAATGCACAGACACACCATATATAGTGCCTACCAAAAGTTCCGGGCCACCTAAATAATTTTTGGATAATAATTTTTGAATGGTTTGAAATGTAGGATTGAAATTTATAGGGATGCAATAATCTGCACATAATTTTATTTACAATACAGTTGGGTGTAATAAGGTGCAATGAAGCGGTCTGGTTATTGCATCAGATTGTACCATCACTGTCCTATTAAGCCAGCGGCACACGATGCTTGTTTTCGTGCTGGATTGCTTGCTGGATGAAAATACTGCGTTCTGATTGGTGCATTTATCAGGACGCAGTATTTTCATCCAGCAAGCAATCCAGCAATCACGAAAACAAGCACCGTGTGTCGCTGGCTTAACTAACACTGCGTGTAGCTCCGAATTAAATCGATCTATCATCGATTGCTTTCACCCGCTCCTCGTACACTTTGTGCAGATAGTTCCACTATAGAAAGAAATGAATTACCGCGATTGGTCGACTCAGCTTCCCGAGTATCCCGCTAGTGGCGCTATTGCATTCGTATTTAGTTATGGCGCCGGTTACGGGTTGTGTTGTGTGCGTCGAGAAACCGTCGTTCGTGACTTCTCGTGATTTTGACTCGCCGTAGCTGAGTTTCGCGCCTTAAATCGTTACCGGGAGTGTCGAAAGTAAGTTTCGCGCGTTTTGTGTTATGGCGCAATGATGTTCGTTCCGCTGCGCGAAGTGAAGTGAGATGAGTCGTCGGAATGCCGAGGTAAGTTCAGCACGCCAGCGGCGCGATTCTTTAACTCATTATTGGACACTTAACAACACTTTCGTTATCGTTGCGCAGCTTTTGTATACCGTAGAAAAGCTGCGCAACGATAACGAAACTGTCGTTAACTCCAATAACGGGTTAAAGAATTGCACCACAGCTGCGTAAGGACAGCTCGGTTTTCGCGTCGCAAAGCGTCGTCTTGGACTCATCAGCCGAGTCTCGGCCGTGAAACATCGAGGTACGGCACAGCTTTCGTTAAACATATTCGTTGAAAATGTGCATTGTTCGTCGGGAGAGTTGAGTAAAGTTTCGGGAAAGTTTTTCTGTCATGGCCGACTTCTTGTGGAATATTTCAAACGGAACGGACAGATTTCGAACAGATTATTTTGATTGGCTAGTACGCCAGCGTTGCATTGCAACGCTTAGTACGCGAATTCCAAAAGCCGACCGTGCATATTTTTCGCGATTTTGCGGAAAGTTCCCGAAATCGATTTCACAACAGACCTAATATAGAACGCCACAACAACTTACCAGATGTCACTTTTACAACGTAATAGTATTTTTTGGCTAATATTACATGCGTCGTGCGACAAGCTTGTCGAACGTTTCAATTCGCTTTTAGATAGAAAATTTTTAAGATGACTAGAGAAAAAGTTAGGCAGCATGTGAATTCTCTATTGATAACTAATCAGAATGTCCGACAGACTTGTTATACGACGCATGCAATATTTACCTTTTGCTGGTAAGATTTAATCTACAACACGTCATTTGACTGAGCTGGAGGTTGGACGCATGCGTACTGGATTGTCAGCTATTCCAATATGCCAATGACTGCGTTCTGCAATGATGTTGACAGTATCGACAACACTGTTACTGAAATCAGTACATAGTCGTTTCAAAAGTCGGTGAGCGGAAAGATCTGAGAGTGATGTCATTTTTTTTGTCTCGACGATACTACCGAATGCAATTCTAAAAGTTCATAAAAAACCTCTAGTTTAGATTTTATTAAATTAGTTAGCCCCATAAAATTTGTAGACCCTAATTGAAAATCGTTTTATATTGATCTTCAGATACTGTGCAGATCATTTCATTTGCTAAAAGAAATATCTGAAGATAAACTTAAAATTATCTTAAATATAAGATAAAATCTTAAATATAAGATCTGATTATGAATACGGATTACAGATTATATATTTCGAGCAAACGAACTAACATATTAATAATAATTTCTAGCTGAGACACAAAATGTATAATTTATATAATATTATATATTATCTATAAACATCATTCGCATATAACTAATATTCGTTGCGACATACATTATATAAATATATATTGATATATAAAAAGGATGGAAAATCGAAGAAATATTTATCCAATCGGAAAAAAGTATTTAAGAAATATTTTTAAAAATATTAGAAAACATTTAGAAAACATTTTTAAAATGTAAAAAATAATTTCAAACATGTTATTAATGTGAAATAAATATTAAATGAACATTAAATAAACGTTAAATTAATATTTTTCTAAAACACTATTTTAAATGAATGAAGCGAAATTAATATAAAATACACATTAAATAAACGTTAAATAAGTATCTTTTGTACAATGAATAGAAGAAATGAAAAGAAATGTAAAATAAATATTTGAGAAACATTAAAAAAATATTATCTGCTGATTGGGTAACGCTGTCGCGTTGAAAAAATCACATGAACGTTGTTATAAATTTTTTGTCAGTTAATGATCGATTGGATTAATTAGAGTTTAGGGGAAGTCATTTTTAAACATTTTTGGTTAATAAAATATCTTAAAATTTCAGTCATTACATACAAATATGCAAATACCCAGACAGCACAATGTCCAAAACTGGGACATAAGACGTCTTTAAGACTTCTTTAAGACGACTTAAAGATATCTTATTTTCAGACATCTTAAAGACTACTTAAAGATGTCTTATTTTCAGACATCTTAAAGACTACTTAAAGATGTCTTAAAGACGTCTTATGTCTCAGTTTTGGACATATGTGCGGTCTGGGTATATATATCAATTGGGATAAGATATATGTATTTATATATATGCAATATAGCATATTAATTCAGACCAGAAATGTTATGCTTGGTCATATTGCGTATGGATTGTTTCCATTTTTTTAAGCTTCGACTTAAAATTATTCCATATATACATGTTATGTGCGCGTCCGTGATATCGGGCATCGATATCTGTATATCGATATGGTATGACTTCGAGCGGCTATAGGTATGAGATAAAGCAGGTCAGGGCGTCTAACAGGATGGCAACACCGGTGCAGTCGAACTGTATACGCCACAAGCCAGATGCGATGTTCTCGTATAATCGGGTTGTCGGCACAGTTTTTCTGTGAGCGTCGGAGCCAAGAGCTTCGGCAGTCGTCTCGACGCGGCGCTGCCGTGGCTCGCTTGTTTCCTGTTGAACCGCACCGCGGCAAAATATCAACCGGTGAGCTCGAACGCTCGTGGTTTTAGGGTCTTCAGATTTGGACTGAAATTTGAATCTCGAGATTCGGACTTTCAAGTTTAGGGACTTCAAAGAATGTATTTTTACAAAATTACAAGAATGTACTTACAAGATGTATCGTTACATCTGCAGTTTTCCTTTGTTTAGATTTTTTAATTTATAAAATTAATGGTCCTGTGCTCTTCACAACGGCAAACGGCTGTCCTTCTCCAATTTACAATTATCCGTTTTATTTCAGTTTGTTTGTATCGTTTGATTATTTCTTGCCTGCGTGACGAAGTCACGACGTCCATATTCTATCGTCAATGCCTACAGCTGTATAATACTAAAAATGTCCAGATTTTAAATATTCCTTACCTATTGATATATTCTTGAAAATTATATTTTTATAGACTACATTTCCAGTTATTTCTCTGAAATATAATTACTCGCCTTACTTTGTACGCCCTGTTTGCTCCACTCTTGAATACCCGATATTCTTTGCCCGCCTGCGTGAAGAAGCGGCGGCGAGCCGAGCACAGCAAGGAATGCTTTTTGCAAATTGTCCTTTGACGATCGCTCTGCGTATTCCCGGCAGGTAGAATAGACGGACAGCATCGCGGGGCTAACGAATGAAGACGAATGGAATGCCCAGCGCACCGAGAACGACAGATGCGCGCCGACCGTGGCGGCTGAAAAATAAGCTAGTCTCGCGCCATGGCGACTGAATTGCGGGGGCGCGGCGGAAATTCCAAATTGCGCGAAACATGATGAACGGATGAGCGGACACGCATGCTTGTAACTCGCGCGACCGGCCGCGCGTACTTAACTGCGAGTCTGATGGAGGTAAATGGCGGAGTGTAACGCGATTTGAGTGTACACGGCGTAACGGGCCGCTACTTGTTTGCCCGCGATAAAAGCCCGAGAAATATATCGCGCACGCGCGCGGCTGAGATTTTATGTGAGCCGCGGATGTGGGTCGCGCGCGTCGCGCCCAGATCGCCCCGGCGCAATTATTTGTTTCGAGTATTTCGCCGGAAACATGAGCTCGCCGCCGGGGTTCGCCGGGAATGTTTTGTAACGTAAGTACGGAGATATTTCGCGCGGCATAGCTGCAAGGAAATGTGTCTCGTCAGCACGTACTGTTTACTGGAATTAAAATCATATAGCGCGGAAGTCGGCGGAAAGTATGCGGAAGTTATGTAGCAACCGTGTTGCTCGCAAGTATGCACAAAACCGGCCGTTTTACAGGTCCCGACAAGTTACGCGGGGCGAGAGGGGAAAGGGGGAGGGGGGCAAAAAATAATGAAATCGATACGGTGGGCTTTTTTTAAGCGCCGGGATGCCGATAGCGTTAGCCGATAACGGGACGGACGCGGCATAAATAAAGTCTGCCGGGACGTGACAGGACATTTCGGAATGACAGGCGGAGGCTCAACTGGCTACTTAAAACTCACGACCGCGAGCGGGAGGTCTCAGTGCGAACGTTGAACTGAAAATCAAATATTATTAATGAGACACTCAGCTGAGTCTTACTTGGCGCGATAATGTC